AACAAGTTTAAGTTTTGAGACCGAACCTTGTAGGAAACCTTGCTTGCCTTTGTAGGACATTGTTAGCCCAAGTAGGGTAAACCAACCAGTGAAGGAACACGACCCAGTAAAGGAACATTTCATATACAGTGATGGCCAAAAGTGTGGACATTTTTTGAAAGTTTCATGTTTTTCAACTTTGTGTGCTTGTGGAATATATTAATTTTCACTTATATTGCATATTAAATTACTTAGTTTATATATTAACTTGAAGGTAATTTAATGTAGAAAAAATGAATTATTACAAAAAAAGTAGAACAAACAAACACAAAAGCAGAACAAACAAACACAGATCGTTTTGAATAAGGACGTGTTTTGTAATAAAAGCGTACAAGCCAATCACAAACACTGTTCTTAGGACCAATCATATGTCTGTAACTATAGTTTAGGTTATTCGGAAGGTAAAAGAGTTATTGTTGTGGAAATATTTTGCGGATTGGTGCATACTAGTACAATTAAATAAAGTATTGCTGATTTTGAATATTTATAGTCCTTTTTAATTAAACTAATTTTAAGCAATGTCATCAACAAGAAGAATTAATTGGACATCTACAAAAAGAAGCCGAATTGTCATATTGAGAGAAAATGGCCTCTTATGCTGAAATTGCAAGACAAGTTGGTGGTTCAGTGACTTGTTCTGGTGTACGAAAGTTCTTTTTACGTTATGAAAAAACGAAATCAGTGAAAAATAAAGCCAAATCAGGCCGAAAAAAATGCACAAGTGCAACTGCCGATAGAAAAATTATACGGCTACGCCTTCAAGATAGAAAAATTTCATCAGATGCCATTAGATGTGAAATGTATGCAGCGCATATTGCAGTAAGTTCAAGAACAATAAGAAGAAGGTTATCAGGATTTGGTCTACAAACTGGAATTCCAAGAAAAAAAACCATATTTAAATCAAAAGCAACCCGAAAAACGAGCTATGTGGGCAAAAGAACATGTTAAATGGTCAGAAAATAGATGGAAGCAAGTAATCTGGAGCAATGAGAGTAAAATATCGCTCTTTGGCAGTGATGGTAGAAAATACATGAGACGTAGAGTAGGTGAAGCACTTCATCCTGATTGCATTGAAGCAATTACAAAAAAACCCAACAAATTTCATGATTTGGGCATGTATGTCTGCAGATGGTGTGAGCCGAATTCAAGTGATTGATGGCATCCTGAATGCCAAAAATACATTGAATCTGTCCTGAGGGATCAGGGCCTTCCATCAGGGATCTCTTCCCCAACAAGGAACCATTTATTGTTCAGAAGGATTCAGCTCCATGCCACACAGCAAAAGTATGCAAAGCATGGTTTCAAAATAAAGGCAAAGATATATTACCATGGCCAGGAAACAGCCCTGATCTCAATCCAATTGAAAATTTATGGCGACGTTTGAAAATTCTTGTACGAAGAAAAAACGTTCAATAAAAGACAACTTATTAAAGCTATAATTGATTCTTGGCACCATGTGATTACGAAAGATGAACTCCAAACACTCGTTCACTCAATTAAAAGACGCTGTGAAGCTGTCTTAAAAAATAAGGGTTATCCTACTAAGTATTGACTGTGTAAGTATCACTTTTAAAAAATGCAAATCTAAGATAGATCTTACTATTAGCTGCATAACTTTTTTTTGTAATACAGATATTGTAATACTGTATTTATTATTAAATTCTACATTAAATTACCTTCAATTTGATATATACACATTTGTATTTAAGTGAAAATTAATATATTCTACAAGTACACAAAGTTGAAAAACATGAAACTTTCAAAAAATGTCCACACTTTTGGCCACCACTGTATATTGATTAAAAATAAGATTTTAAAAGTTTTTCTTTAGATTGATTGGTAACAATAGCTTGCTGCCAAACAATAGGAAGTCATCTAACAATGTATTGGATTACATGGTCACATAATGTTCTCTGGAAAAAATTTTGAATTTGTTATTATCTCTGCAACACCTTGTTTCTTTGATTAAATTATAAGGTGAGTGCTTGTATTTATCTGTTTAAAGTGGAATTAATTTTATGTAGTAGTTTTATTTTTCTCACTGTGAAAAAGAGAATTCAAAATACAGTTATTGAAGTTACGTTTTATTTATTTTAAGCATCATAGCATAAGCAAGTACTGATCGAGATAAGGGGGTGTTTATTTGCTGGATTACCAAATGATGAAAAACCAGTGAAGGAACAAGTGTTCCTTTAGTGGGTTTTTTCCAAGTTAATGAAAATAAAAGAAAACCCTTAATTTTCTTCTGATCAGCGAGGGAACACACATGTTCCTTTACTGGGCACAGATTTCCCAGTGAATGAACAGTATGAGTTAATATGTTGACACTTTGCTTTTCAATTCATGCTTACAAAAAAAAGATAACATTTTCCAAGTATTTGTATGTTATAATTTCAAGAATAGGCTTGTTTTTAGATATTTGTATGGCTTATAAATTCATAAAGAGCATTAAAAAATAATCAAAATTAAGTGTTCCTTTACTGGGAAATTTTGTGTTCATTCACTGGTTCGAACTGTTCTTTCACTTGGTCTTCTTACTACTTACTATTTGAACCTCCAAAACTTTAAAACAATATTATGTAAGCTCTCTACAATTTTTTTACATAATTTGCAATTAGTAACAAATATGTTGACAGTGTCATTTAACTAAAATTACAAATTTCGAAATTATTATGATTTTTTAAAAGACAAGCGAAGCTTAAGTGTTCCTTCACTGGTTAGTTTATCCCATATGCTATTTTATCTACTAAAAAGTGTAACATAAAAAACAATTTTGGTCTATTTTATGATTAGAACATTTGAATTTCACCTCCAAGCGATTGCTGATTGTAAGAAATCGTCATGCCTACATATTCGTTTTCTTTTTCACTTGTCAACTTGCAAAAAATATCACCAAAATTATTTTTACTTAACTTCTATCTTAGAAACTACATTTAATGACCTACCAAAGCCTGAGACTTCCAAGTTTTCATACTTCAGAATACCATGACCTGAGACAACTAAGTTATAAGACAACCACAAACATGAAACTTACATGACTTGAGACTTCATAATAAATTAATGTCAAATCTATCTCAGATATTTATTTGGAAACTAAAATAAACATTAGCTTGTTGACCAAGGGTAAATTAAATTTTTTCATACATTAATCCCATACATTTTTACTTTAAATTCTGAAATTTATTTATTAATATAAATTGAATTTATAGAAACACTCTTAGTAGAGTCAAGGCTTAGGATTAGTTTTGAGCAATGGTACACGCAACTGGAAAACTAAAGTGTCGAAGTTAAAAAATTTTAAAAAAATCAGAGACCAAAAATTCCTTTAAATCTTTGATTGCAAGGTAGAACAAATTTAAGACACAAATTCTGTAGCTTTAACAATTCATGTTTGTATACCGTGGCCTTTCGACACTGAAATACTTTAGCTCAATTTCAAACGCAATTAAACTCTGTATCGGACTGAAGTTCTTTTTATAGAATTTCTGCGTTTTTTAACCATGAGCGTTAAAATTTTTCCTCCTAACGATAAACCCACTAATTTTGGAAGCGTAAGCTCGAAATCACGTCGTTACAATGACAATATCAATTTTTTTCCACAGTACACCAGTAAAAAAGTCGTACGGCCAAAAAAGTTTCAGCTAATTCATGACTTGAAAATAACAACTTTGAACTCTTCAAAAGTTAGGTCATTGTAATTATACGTTAGTCCAAGAAAAATCATCGTTAGTACTCCAACTGAAAAAAAAATTTTGAGGTCTAAATCATGAATTAACTTACTTTTGACCTAGAAATGAAAATATTTAATTTTTCCACTGAACAGTAATTCAGTCTAAGAAATCATTAGCTCAAAAAAAATTTTCGTTAATGCTCAAGAGAACAAAATTTTTATATTTGCCATCAAACGTTAATTTATTGTAAGAAAATGTTAGCACAATGTTAGCGGAATAAACTTTTGTTAGCGTAACAGTTAAAGCATTTGAACAATATTTTAACCTAATTACAAATTTGAATTGCACCTCCAAACGCTTGTCCAGTGTAGGAATTTGTTAGCCCAACAAACAATTTCGACTCAATCTTCATCAACTAAAAGAAAAGGCCAAAACTAATTAACTTTTATCAAACCTAAAGGTTCCTCTTTGTCTCCGAAAGTCATCATCGGTAAAGAAATTTAATTTAGACCACTAATCCTAAAATCATGGTCAAAACAAGTTTTTGTAAGCTTTTTTATATAAACCACAGTTGTAAAATAAATATAGCGCAAAAGTAAATAAGATTTTTGGCAAACCAACCAAAAATACAAAACAATTTGAAGTTTACTTTTGTCCCAGCAAGTGTAATGTTTCTTCCAAATGATATTGCACTGCAAGAAATCTTAATTCTATTTGTTTTTGCAAAATTTATAGTCTGAAGTACTTTTTATCTTTCAGATTTTGCACATTTGTTTTGGCCACGGCATTTGAATAGTTATAGATGAGGACTATTCTGAATTTTTCGTTGTGTCTCAAGATCTTGGAGTTCATACAAAATTTCTCTTGGACATACTGAAAAAAACAAATTTGAAATTTTCCTACAAACGTTAAATGTTTTAGAAAATATTTGGAGCTGGTATTAATTCTCATGCCAATATTAATTCTCAATACAATTCAGCATTAATTCTCATGCCAATACAAAAAAGTTAAGGCCACCAAAGTCTACAGACTTAACATCCTAATATTTATATCTATAGGGTGCATGTGCCTCCCATGGTCAAAACATTTGAACTCAAAGATTTGTGATGCGCTTGCGTCCCTGACAGCGCAAATGCTTCGGAGTGTATGGTGAGATACCACCTACATGTTGTCCTTGTAACCAAGAGAAGTCACACAGAAAATCCGTGAGATATATACAATTGCTGAATCATAATAAAATTCTCGCATAATAAAATTCTTGCCAGAACTAGTGGTGTATCACAAAATATCGATGAAGTCAATGCCATGTCTCTTCACAAAGACCAATACAACATGTACTGTAAAAAGCAAATGAATAATAAGAATCCAAATAAAATTATCTACATTTCTAAAGAGACATTGAAATAGAAAGAATCACTGTTAATTTACACAGTCTCTATAAGTAATATTTATATGCTAGAAGAAAATATATGATATGAAGCACTTACACTCCCATTCCTCTGATAACTAAGATTAGCCCACTAACAAAAACAAGTTTTAGTTCATTTATTGCATAATAAGAAGTATTAAAGTTTATCTTCGATAGTTAGAAAAAAAAATATTTTTGTTAGCCTACCAACTAAAAAAGGACAAATCTAACTTTTGAATTAGAGATTTTGAATTTTGACTTCAAACGTTAGTTTACTGAATAAATTTTAGCAGACGTTAGTCCTTATAAATAGTGTTGAATAGGACTGGGCGATATTAGAAATTATATATCGTGATGCATCGTCAGTTTTGCATCGCGATGTATCGCAATATAGTATTTTTAAATTGACAAATGTACAAATCTTACTTAAAATATTTATTGAAATGTTTGTTTAGAAATTCATAAAACGCGTAAAACAAAGTGTTAAAAACTTTTTTTAAAGCATTTTTTACAAATTAATATTTTCTTGTACAATTATGCATAAATAATAAGATAATTATAAAGTTCGATTGTAATGTTTAATTTCTAAATTAAACGTTAAAAATTATTTGTATGTTTAAAACAAAGTGCTAAATAAATTTTAGAAAAAAAAACGCTTTTATTATTATCATTTCAGATATTATAGTTCTATTATAGTTCATTTACATCACACTAGAGCTGCACAATGGGCTATTGGTGACGGCCTGGGAAACATCCCTGAGGATGATCCGAAGACATGCCATCACAATTTTGATCCTCTGCAGAGGGGATGGCACCCCCGCTTCGGTAGCCCGACGACCTGCACG